ATTTTACATACCAATTAAAACCTACTCAGTTCTTAATTTAATTTACAACAATTATAAGCAAGCTTTTTGATTGGGAAGGGGAGGGGGGGGATATCAGATACATATTTCACACGTGTGGATGTATGTGTGCAGACGTTCCTACGTACTGCTGTTGTACAGCGCAAATTTAGAAGTGGAAAATGAGTAAAAATGACTCTCTCAGGGCTGATTATTGGATGCAGGTCATGATGCTAATCTCTGTAGAGCTGTTTAAAACATGTAGGTTGTGGAAAATGTAATTGTTGAGAAGAATGTTGAGTACAAAGCCCTTTGTACTTGAGTTTTACAACAAAGCTCTTCCTCAGTGCGTAACAAAGAATATGATCTTATTCTTTAAGTGTAGGCTGATTATAAGAGGGTAACTTGGCCATATTTTAGGCAAATTTCCTTATTAATTTGATTTTGTTTCAGAGCATCCTTTTCCATAATCACTGTAGCTCCTGAGACTTTCTATCCACTTCATTGCAAGTCTATTTTCAGTATATCCAAGTTACCTATAAGTGGATGCCATTATGAACAACTGCTTCTACCTGCAGTGCTATGCATATATTTTTCATGTTGTGTGCTATAATCGCTTTTCTAAATGACAGTCAGAAATGCCTGTGAAGCTGAGTTCCTAACATTTTGATTTTTGTAAGTATCTGTTTTTTCTCCTGAGGAAACACATTTCTGATAGGGATTCTAAGCAGTAAAGGGTACGAGTGATGTTTGAAGTTCCCTGTAGAGCTTTATAGATGCAGTGCGCACATCTAAAAGGTTCTGAGTGGCACTGGGCAAAGGAAATGGGAAAGCAAAATTCTGTTTGATTTTTCTGTGAAGAAAGCTGGCTACAAGGCTGAAGAGGAGCATGTCTAATGAAGGCTGACCTGTGTATTTTGTACTTTCTGATTGGGATGTCATGCCAACAGGTGAGTTTGTTGAAGTGTATTCCCACGCTGAAATATTTAGGATGTTGTTGATCGCTTCCTATAGTTGTTTTCATTTAATTTTTCAACCATGCATCTGTTGCTGCTCCCCTTTTTTTATATTGCTTGCTGTTACAGCTATATTCACTTACTTGTGGATTCTTAGAGCTCCACCAGTGTTGGGCTAATTAACAGTGTATGAAAACCAAGAGCAAAGAGAGTCATTAGACAGTTCATTGTTATCTCCCCGTAAGAATGGCCCAGGTAGAAACAGACTCTTTCCTGTCATGGAATTCACTTTCACCATTTGATAATGAACCAAGAAAGTATCTGGCTCTAAGATCAAACACCTAAAGAACTTGTGGCTTGTTCTCAAAGGAATTGGTTTTACTTATCAGTGACAGACATTCCTATTAATGGTAACAGGGACATGATAGCAGAAGTTCCAACAGAGGTAGCCCTGACGTGACCAATTCAAGACTGTATTTATTCCTAAGAGCAAAGTGTTTTGGGTAGTGTCACACATGCTTCTTATGAGCAGTGTTTTCATACCAGGTGTTCAGAACAATGTGTTACTTGTCTTTCACTGATCGATAGCACAGAGATGTCCTGCCAAGGAGGGCCAGAAGGGAAATATAAACATACCCAACACTGAAGTGTTAAATAGCACTTCAGAGTTTTCAATGGATAGATGTATCTTAATGTGTACGTATACTTGTTAGCATTTGTAGTCTATATTACCTGTGTTTGGGCATGCATTTACTGTGTTTCATGTGAAAATGTAGGCCAATGTGTTTGGCTTTTGTAAATAATTCCTTCACATTAATTCTTCTCATAAAACTTGGCAGTTAGTCTGGTATGCTTGCGTTTCTTTTCTTCACTTGTAATGAATTCATTGACTTGCATGTGTAGCAGGTTAAGAAATGAGTTTCTTCTTCCATGCCTGCATGTATATACTAGTATAGGTAGCTGGATGTCTTGTTTTTGTGAGACATGGGTGCACTTGAGTGGAAGAGTGCTTGGGTGAAGGTATTTTGAGAAAATGCAGACCAAGGGAACATCAGGAGGCTTCTGGAAGTAGAACTTGAAATTAACTAATTGCTATGAGAGAAGGTGAGAACAGAGTAAATAATTTGAATTGAATGATGGCCAAGACCCAGATAAATATATATTTTTTTTCCCCCAGTTCACGGTATGAAATATTCATTGGTTAGGTAAGATATTGTGAAAGAATAAAGGCATGGACCTACCACCTACATCGCCATGCTCAAAGAAAAATCCAAGCTGTGTGCTGTTCTGCTGTCATAAGCCTGACAGCATGATGATGGCCAGGTTTGCTCTAGAGATGAAGCATTGGATATTTCTAAAGAAAGATTAAGAAAGTTAGATGGAGCCCTGGCAGCTTGATCAAGTGCTTGGTAAGGATGGCAGGCCAATAAATCATAGCAGTGGAATTGGAACTGAATAATCTTTGAGGTCCCTTCCAATCCAGGCGATTCAGTGATACTGTGAATTTGGCTTTCTCTGTATTTTGTGCTTTGTAAGAGAATGGCATCAAAGAAATGTGAGGATAACCGGGAGTAAGAGAATGACTTCTTTAAATTCGAGTTACAGAGAAATTGAAAATGTTTCCCAAATACAAGTTGTGGTGAATGTTTGTAGTTTCTTATCTATTAGATTAGCTGGAACACTAGATTGATTTGGGTTGGAAGCTTATTTGTGGAAAGGAAGAAGGATTATGTCAAAAGATTTTGACAGCTGAGAGGAGGAAGATGCACCACGCTCAGTAACACCTTTCAAGTTGCAAGCAGTGCTGGTGGTGTGGAGCAGAAATGTAATTGCAGAGTATTTAAGAGATAAGAGAGAATTAGGAGAGTTCCAGTAAACTACACATTTGAAAACATGCTGTAAGACAGAAAGAGGGTAGTCATTGCTGTAAATGAGATCCATTGTGTTTGAAGCAGTGTGTACTGAGAGATAAAATGAGGCTCTTCATCATATTAGTAAGGCTGTCCTTTTCTGTAAAGCACTTGGCTGCTGGGGAATACATTTGTGCTCCAGTCCCCTGATCATCTCTGTGGCTCCTCTGGACCCTCTCCAACAGCTTCCTGTCTTTCTTGTGCTGGGGGCTCCAGACCTGAACACAGCACAGCAGATGGGGCCTCATGAGGGCAGAGTAGAGGGGGACAAACCCTATCCCTGCTGGCCACCCCTCTGCTGATGGAGCCCAGGACACCATTTGCTTTCTGAACTGCAAGAGCACACTGCTGGCTCATGTTCATGTTTTTCATACAGTCTCTTGTATGTTGTTCTGCTTAGAAAGGTAGTGTGGTTTTTCTTTTCTTTTTTTTTTCTTCCCCAGGCTTTAAGTAGATACTTGTTTTGATTTAACTTGTTTGGAGGCAGAACGCTTTTCTCCCTTCTGAGCTAAGCTTTTGCCCTGAGTCAGACCCTGGGGATCGCTGGGTCGTGAATGACACAGAGCTTCAGAACAGCAAGGACTCCATCCTGAACCCTTAACAAACAGAACACTAGTATCCATAAACTTACAAAACATGCATGGTTAGGAAAATAGCGTATTTTCTGTGTAATTTGTTGTGCTTATTAATGTAAATGTGTATATTTAAAATTTGGCATTTTGCCTTGGCAAATAGCTTATACATAAAGAAAGTTTATCCCCATAATTCTCTATGTATACATTTTAGCCATTTCAAATATACTGAATGCAGTTCTGAAGTTTTGGAATGAAAACTGTTGGTTACGGCTGAACGGTTCCTCTTTTGAATGCTACCAGAACTTGTGCTTTTTGAATTAAATGGTGACATCATTGGCATCTGCAGATGCCAAAGCTCTTTACCATGAGAGTGGTGAGGTGGTGGAACAGCTGCCCAGAGAGGCTGTGGATGCCCCGTCCATCCCTGGAGGTGTTCAAGGCCAGGTTGGATGGGGCCCTGGGCAGCCTGGGCTGCTATGAAATGTGGAGGTTGGCGGCCCTGTGTGTGGCAGGGGGTTGGAGCTTCGTGATCCTTGAGGTCCCTTCCAACCCAAGCCATTCTGTGGGCAATTTGCTAAGCACTTGCAATGTTTTCTGGGTAGGGTGAGCTTTAGTATCAGTTTTCAGCTGATTGTTAATAAATTGGAATTTACAAGAACAGTTGGTTTTCAGACTGGAGTTTAGAAAGTTAAACACGTGCATGACTTTGGAATGTGATCTTAATTCAAATCTATACATCTCCTACTCCTGGCACCTTCCCATGATTCTCCGGAAGAGAGAAAGAAAACATACTATTTTAAGGAGTATTTGGTACTTAATAGAATTACCGTACAGCCGCCTTCCCAAGAATTTTGATTTACTGCAGGTTGTTCCTGCGTCGCATGCGGACATTTTTAGAGAACAGATTTCTTATCGCTGTGAGCACTGAATGGCTTCCAGAGCTCCACGATCAGGGAGCAAAAACCTTACATCCCTCATAAAAGGTAGGAAACCACGCGATCTATAAGCCGATTTGGCAGAGGCAACGGCTGTTGGTGCCAAGATTTGGTTCCTGACCCGCAGCTTCCTGTTTTTAAATCTATTAATTGATTTGCAAAGAGCATCTTTTGGAAACAAGGACTCCGACAGCCTGGCACAGGCTGGAGCTCCGCCAAGACTGCTTGGGAAGCTTGCCATGCGGGGAGCGAGCGAGCGCGGGAGCGAGCGAGCCGAGGGAAGAAAAAAAAGGCAAGACTTGGCACGGCGCAGTCAAATCAGCTTCTTTTGTCTGCTTCCTCGGCTTGAGCTTCAGGAAAGAAAACCGTCCTGGGGTACAGAGAAACTCACAACTTTTTTTTTTTTTTTTTTGGTTTTCAAACTTAGCTGGCTTTTTAAGTCTCTTGGGTTGTCCGAAAGTGGTGGCACGTAAAATGATGCTCGGTTGGCAGTGGTGAGAGAAATAAGACTTCTTTAATGAAGCCTCTACAATATCTGATTACATGTGTGAAATACGATATTTGATTTTTTTTTTTTTTTTTTTTTTCTTTTTTTGGTGTGCGTGTCTGAGTAAACTGTAAGGGAGCCAAGTAACTTGGAAGAATACAGAGGCAATGCCGAAATCTAGAGGGAGAATTTGTTTTGTTTTGTTTTTTTTCCTTTTTGCGGTAACAAAAAAAGTTTTTGTCGACACAAATGTGCTTTAAAACCAAATCTGACCTCTGCCGGAACGTGTTCAGAATGGGAATTTCAACGTTTCTCTCATACGTGCTGCAGATGCAACTTTTAACGGAACGTCCTTAAAGCTTCCATCTGACTCGGCGCTGGAGTAAGAGTAGAGAGAAAGTTGGGACGTCTTCATGCGAAAGTGAGTATGTGCTTAAAGCAGTGCTGTTTGTTTTGCTGCTCCGTGCTGCCCCAGCTCCATCTCACAGCTATCAGTGCCAGCAGTGAAGACCAGCAGGGTAAGAAGACGCCCAGACTGTGCCTGAAGGGCTGTAAAAGAAATGAGAGCCTGGCTGTTTTGTTACTGCTCTCAGATATCTCTTCCAATGAGTCTTAGGAGACAGCGTGTGAAACTGCCGCATTTTCCTCTGCTGGAGGAAATCAGAGGTGGGGGAATATTGACTTTTGCCAAGGGAGGGATGTTCGGAGATGACGGAGCTGGGTTTGAACTGATGATGCTGGATATAGGAACTCCAGTTTGTAGTAACAGTACTTGTTTGCTGTAAATTGTGGAAAAATCTGCTTGCTTTTTTTTTTTTTTTTTTTTCCATACGTGGATTAAAAAGATCTGTGGCGACTGAAGCGTGGATGTCTTTTGATTTCAATAAAATTAAGGACCTGAAAATCCATTGTTGGTTTTCTCCAAGGGTGCCTGGATTGTCAGTGAGACAGGTACCTTATTTCTGATTTCCTAGGAACAAATGCTGGTATCCTGCCTATTAGGCCTGGATGTGGTTGGATTATACTCCTCCTGCTCTGACAGTCAGCGCTGTTATTTCAGAGTAACTGTAAGGCATAGCTTGTTATGGATCGTCTTCACTTATAGTAAGTAACACGCTATCCTTAAAGAATTAGATTGTTCAGCCTGTGAGATGTACTTATGCAGCATGTCAGAAATCACACGTTTCCTTGATTCTTCTGTGCTCAGGGGAAGTAAGAAACAACGTGACTGAAAAGCATGTTAACAGATGTGTTTTCCTTTTAACTGCACATCGTGGGGTTCTGATTACTAGGCTACTAGAAATAACTGGCCTTTCTGATTATGGGAAGGAACTTGGCTTCCTTAATATTAAATTGGTTTTATAACAGGATGTGTCAGATTTTTCCTACATCAGTGAGCCTTGTGAGAGATACTCCAGTTATATACTCTAGTTATAAATAGTGGTTAAGCTGCTGTTGTGATTACCATGCGATTTACTGAAGCCTTTCGGAATGGTTTGTTAGTGAGGTTTTGAAGAAAGTGTCTCAATTAAGTGACCTGTTTGGCTTACAAAAATATCAATCGTGTCTTTCTAAATGGTTTAAAAGTTGTGTTCCACAGATAATTGCTAAGCTGGGTATCCCAGTATAGATGCAAATTAATTTTGCAGTTGGTGAGAGTTCAGGTTTGCTTTCTGTGGGACTAGATTGCGTGTTGTCCATTCCTGTACAACATTAACGTGTGATGTGATGGGCAAAGTGGAGCTGCAACGGGTGCAAGTCTGCACTCAGCATAATACAGTAAGTTGGTCTGTGTACCTACTCTGAAATAAATTTTCTATGTATATATATCTTTTAGACATAGCACATGCTTCAAGACTACATAAAGTGCTCAGAGCAACTACATTTGAGGAAAACAACTGTGATAGATGTCCTTATTAAAAGTCAGGAAACAATAGAAAACATCACAGTGCTGCTAAGTGGGAAAAGTCTGACTATTAGAAGAACCGTATTTGTCTCCTGTACTTGTATACATTTCTTAAGTCATTTCTCAGGTTTTTAACCTGAACAACATGTGGGTCCTTGCAGTGCGTTTAAAACGATATTTGTGTGAGTACTTGAATGTGCACTGACACTGAAGCTATTTTGAAAGCATACTATGATTTTGAAGGTATTTATCTTCGAAACGTGTAGTGAGTAAATCCTCTGTATTTCTTTTGGCCTACGTAACGAGGGAAGTATTTTTTTTCTATCTGCTGAACCCTTTCCTTTTAAAAAGTACATGTAAATATTATTTTGGTGAAATATTACTATCTGACAGATGCAATCTGAATTACAGTCACATTGTTGGTTTTAGAGTGTTGACTGCATGAAAATTTACTTTGCGAGTGAGATTTGATGTGATTTGTCATATTTGTGTGTCTTAGGAGCGATCTTAACTTGGAGTTTTCTGAATATTTAATTAGCTTACTCATTATCACTGTTCATTTATGATCCTTAATTATTGGTTAAGCTTCGTAACTTGACGAATTCTTAATGATTCATTAATAAATATTTAGTAATGAGTTGTACAGCTAGAAGTACAAAAGTTAGGAATTAAAATGAAAAATTAAAATTAAAAGTAAGAAATTAAAAAGAAATTAAAATAAGGTGACGTTTAAGTGTGAAGGTGTAGGGTTTAATTTGATTCCTCTTGAATTATGAAGGCATGGTATTATTTCACACGGCAGCATTGTGCTTGATGCTGTAAGGGGCCTGCATCTAATAAGGGCCTGTATCTGATCTGCCTTAAGTATTATTGATATACACAAATCAAAGTTTACTGATGTTTTTACTAGTTTCAAACAAAATTCCCATCTATGGGACTGTAGTTCTTGTGTATATTTGTCACCTATTTTTGACACACTGGATACATTTGTAAGGGGCTTTAATTGAGCGCTTGCTGTGAACCCGTGTGTTTATAGGACAGGGAAGGGGGGCAGTTGCCCAATGTGACTCCAGATCTTCCCTAAATATGGCTGTAGGGGAACAATGCAAATGTTAAAGTACATGCACATGTGCGGCAATGCCTGGGTCCATGGAGAATGGTGAGGACTGCCTCAACATTTGGTAGGACTCCAAATTCTGCTATTGATGCGGTGCTCTTGCATTCTACGCCCAGTATTCTTGACCAGAGCTGTGTGCATTTTAGGATTCTTTCCACTTACTGTTACTCCTGAATAATTGCTTATTTGGTACTATAGTACATAACAAGATGTTTTCTCTCTTTGTGGCCAAGAGTCCCCATTTTAAATACCACGTGTGTCCATAGCATGTCTTCCTTCAGATCTCACTTAGTCCACAGCCATGTAGATAAAGCCAGGAGTGCATTCCTCATATTTTATATGGAAGTCTATGAGTGTCCAAGATGGAAGACTATGTGAGAAACACCAAGAAGGCTGTGGTTTTCTCTTTTTTTCTTATCATCTATACCTGACTATAACTAAATATAAATTTATAGTTAATGGAAAGAAATAGTTTTTTCATTTTAATTAAATTTGTCCAGCACTGCATGTGCATGAGCTATGTATGCTCTTAAGATCCAAACTAGTGTAGCAGTATCAACTTTGGTAGAATCCCACTCCTTTATTCAGCTGAAGGTATAGGCCTACAGGCTTTATCTCCACAACGGATATTTTTAGTGAAAAAAATCTTTTGCCCCATGTAGTTGTTAAATAAACATGTGAGTTAAGTCCCTGTTACACCCAATGGGAAGAAATCAGCTCTAGGTGATACAGAAAGCTGTCAAATAGGTAATGTGACTTTACTGACCAGGAGAGCAACGTTAGGCAAGTAGTTCTTACTAAAGTACAGATGTTTAACTTTCAGTGAAGACAAATACTTAACAAGGCAGCTTACTTTATTTCAAGCCTTCCATTTACGTGTCAGCAATTATACAGCTGTTTGCTCCCCCACAATGCATTATTTTGCATACCCAGTTTCAAGGTTAAGAATAGAAGAAACAAGGACAATAAATGAGGAGACTGAAGTACTAATTCTTAGCATTGTAATTTTTTTTGTCTGTTCTTCTCACGTTGGTTGTATGGATGCGTCATAATCCACAACAGTTGAAGGCTTGATTGATCCTGATAATCTTGTAGAAATCATCTCCAGACTGTGGAGATGATGGAAGCTTTTCTCCTTGCCAGTTGTAGACATCGATGTTTTGCTGGTTGTTTTCCTCTGGCTGAATTATCTTTGGTCTGTGCCCATTTTTAGAAGTTGTTATAGCACTTTTTCCATATTCAGCTGATGCTATGGAACTGTAAAATGTCTGCATCAAAGGAGATGCAAACAGGGCCTCTTCACCCACTGTAGCTGAAAGCTGTGGTGGTCTTTGCTTTTTCTAGGGTGTACTGTGTTCTCTTATGTCCATGGAGTTGCCGTTTGTTGCAGCTAGGAGAATAAAATGAAAATGAATTGTCCACTGTGCATTTTCTCTTGAAAGTAATGGAGATATTGGGTTTTAAATGTGGACCCAGTTTGGATGCCCTTTCCATTGCAGGGGAATTAGAGATCTTGAAAGAAATTCACTTGTTCAGCTTTGCTAAGTCACCCAGTCCTTCTTGTAAGTTGGCCAAGGCCAAGCAGAACTCGCCCTGTTTCCTGCAAGGCTATGATTTCTTTTAATTAGATTCTTTTTCTCTTACTGTAAGTAAGGTTAACTTTTCCTTTCTGGTTCTGCTTTGATTTAAAACCTTGTGAAGACATAAAAAGGCTTAAATCTTGTTGAGTGTTTGATACAGGAGAGGGACTTCCTGCTATGCCAGGGCAAAACCTGATCTATTAAAGGGAGACTATGAGTGATACTTAGAGATCAATTGGCTTTCCTTTAGCTATAGATTGATATGTCAAATTTTTGCAGTGTGGATATCTCCTAATCTCCTAATATGACAGTACTGCTGCCTTTACACTGCAAACTCTGATGTCTGCTGAGGTTGAGATACACCCTTGAAAGGAAGATAAAAAGAGCCATTCCCTTCTTTTTAGCATTTTTTTTTTTTTTTAGTAAGTGTGAAAAATATGTTTGAAGATGTTTATTAATGCTGCTTATATTTTCCTAAATATCTTGAAATGGATTAATTTGTTGTTGTAGTTTTTTGTCTTCCCAAGTGTACATGAATGGGATACTTCATGTTCATGGCCGTTTCTCCTCTATCCCAGGTCCATTTTTAAAAACTTGGTTTTCTTTTGTTAGTATTTGATTGTCTTAGTGGTGTTAAATTCAGGCACAAAATAGCTTCTTTTGAGAAGCATTTGGTGAGCTTCCTCCCTTGGCATTTCAGGCTGTCTTCTAAAGTCTGTGGGTCCTGCTTATTTAATGTAGTCCTGTGGGTAAGTCCAAGTGTGGTTACGTATGTAAAGTAGGGCTGTGTTTAAAGCTCTTCTAGAGGCTGAAGGAGC